TAATGAGCTCCAGGGCTGCTGGCCAAAGAGGCCTGATTCCAGCCTCTTTTCAGAGGTGTGTGTGTGTGTGTGTGTGTGTGTGTGTGTGTGCATACCACACACTTATCGCCTTGGTAGGATGATGGAGTCTATTTTCCAGAGATGGAAAGATACCTAGGCCTCCAGCTGTGAGCCTGGTGTGTAGTAAACAGTCATTGTCATTATAAGCTACATTAATAACATTCATGCCTGCTAATGAATGCATCCCTGAAGAAGGGATGCATTGCCAGTCAGCTGTGCACACTGAAGCTTGCTGGAGGAAACAGGTCACCTACTGAGAGGAAACAGGTCACCTACTCATCCAGTACAGCCACCTGCCATATGGTATTATGGCATGGATATTAAACACCATCCCAAATTGTGAGATTTCAATCCATTTAGTCAATGGCTTTGGGGGCAGCAAGCCACACCCTAGGGCTTGCCTGCCTGTGTGACAACCTAAAAGCTGAAGGACAGGGTTGTGCACCCCTCTTGCTGGGGTGCTGTCTTGGGTGGTGGTCACAGATCCGGCTTGCAGCCTCCAGTGCTCCAGGCCAGAAGTCTGCGGTAGCTCTCTACCTTTATAGTGTGAGTGTTCCCCAAATAGATATCTGATATTCTTTTATTTGGGCTTTGTGGACTCCCCTACTCCACCCACACCCAAAACACAGGGATTGGTCCCTAGCAGATGGAAGATGGAGGTGCGCACTTCTCCAGTGGTTCAATCCATTGTCCTTGGTTTGGTTTGGAGATGAAATCTCTTTCCCAAGCTGTCCTCAAACGCCTGTGCTGTGTAGCCAAAGATGAACAACGGATCTCCTGCCTCCACACCTCCACTCCAGAGCATCGGGTGTCCCTATGCCGCTTACAGATGTGCTGGGGACCAGGAGGATGCTGGGCAAGCACTCTAGCACCTGAGTCAGATCCCAGCCCTGAGTTAATCTCAATGAGCTCATACTGAATGGGCTTTTTATGAGATGAGACCTGGGTGAAGCTTGCTGTCATGCTTGCTCTTGGATGACTTAATGGGAAGAGCTTTCCCTATCCCGAGCCTTCTCGTCATCATGCTCCTGCCTCACCACAGGCCTAGAAGCGACAGGCCCAGCACCTTGACCATGGACTAAGGCCATGAGCCAAAATGAATCTTCCCTCCTTTACATTGCTGGATATGGGGACTTCCTCACACCAACAGATGGACATACCTGGGCTGTCTGTCCGTTCCTCATAACTATGCACCAGGCGGGTGACACTGCCTCACTTTGCAGACAGGTCACTTGAAGACAGACAAGGGAAGGGGCTGGTCTGGGTGGCACAGCCAGTGTGTTAGCACAGATGGTCTAACCGAGGGTCACAGCGCCAACAAAGGACACATCTGGAGTCACCAGCCATCTAGGCAAGCACTGTGTTGTCCGTCGTCTTCCCCACCCCTCCCCCCACTCCTCACGCTGAGCTTTACTGTCTCCCCTTTGTGGATGGGGAAAGTGGGGCTCAGGCACTGCAGCCCCTTGCTATTGAGGAACAGAGCCACAACCTGAGACCAGCAGGATGGAACAGTGGGTACCTCTGCTTTGCTGCCAAGACTGACAATCTGAGTTCAATCCCCAGGACCCTCATGGTGGAAGGAGAGAACTGACTCCCACCTGACCTGTGAACACACACTGTGGTATATACATGTACAAACATGTATAAGCATGCACACCACACACACAAATACTGTGTGTGTGTGTGTGTGTGTGTGTGTGCCTCTGACTCTTCTGGAATTCAGAGAGACCCACCTGCCTCTGCTTCCCAAGTGTTGGGATTAAAGGTGTGCACCACCATGCCCAGAAAGTATAATTTTTTTTAAATGCCACAACCTGAAGCCAGAACCACTTCCACCCCAGGCCATACTCCTGCCTAGCCAAGCTCAGTGGCCCTGGCTCCTCTCTCCACCTGCAATTCCTGCCTCCTCACCTCCCCAGCTATGGAATGAATGGCCAGGAAGGGAAGGAGTCACTTTCATGGTTTAAATCCCCGTGTGATAGTTACAATTGTTAACTTGATAGACCAAAATTACTTAGGAGACAAATGACTAGGCCTGTCTATAAGGAAGTTTCTAAATTGGATTCATTGAAGTTGGAAGGCCCACTTTAATTGTGGGTAGCACTATCCCAAGGCTGGAGTCTTGAGTAAGAAAAGA